CACTACACCAAACTGACTCTGTTTGATCATAAATTGGGGAGTGTATGACAGAAGCGAAGATCCCTTTTCCCCTTCTATCTCCCCTTGCCTCTCCCATCACCTCTGATTCCACTCCTTCACCTACTGTTCTCTAGATAGCCCATGATTACACCAGCATCTTTTAATATAGAGCCATGTTGCGCAGCAACACTAATTTTAGGCCAAATTTACCATATAGTTTTGTCTTCAAACCAGAATGTCACACACAACGTCCCTGATATGATGACATCACTTCTGGGTGACATCATTGTGTCAGGGATGTCGCACCCAGATGTGGCTGTTTGGGGGTGGGGTGGGCAGATGCCCCAAAAAGTAGGGGAACCCCGGCTGGGACCTGGGGACTGGCAAGCCTATCTGCCAGGTCAAGCACAGCCCTACCAGCTGTGTGGTCATTACAGTTAAGGGCTCGACTAACCTCCTGTTTTTGAAATGTACCTGGAACAGCAACACTGGCACTGCTGGGGTGTCTGTGTATGTGTGTGTGAAACACCTGGCTGAGCTTAGTAACGAACTAGTGGGCTGTGCACTTGCTACATCAAAAATTAAGCACTGGTTTAAGATTTTAGAGAAGGCAGGGGTTTGATTAATGTGATAAATAATGTACTTAATTGCTGAAAGTTAATCAGGGAGTGCAATTATATTTATTCTTCCACAATTAAATCAAATTGAATTAAATCACTAGTCCGGAAGACTCAATGTAATCATAGCTTTCTAAGTAACTTCTCATGATGTTGTTTTGTTCAGGCAACCAGGCCTTGCATTTCCTTGTTGCACTGTTTACATTTGGCATGCATCCTGGTCTTACCCACAGGTAGGGTTGCCAGCTCTGGGGTTTTTTGGGGGGTGGGACCTGGTGAAGGCGGGGTATAGGGTGAAGAAGGGCCTCAGCAGAGTATAATGCCATAGAGTCCACCCTCCAAAGCAGACCTTTTCTTCAGAGGAACTGATCTTGGTTGCCTGGAGATCATGTATAACAGCAGGAGAGCGCCAGGTGCCATCTGGAGGTTGGCAATCCTGCCCACAGGATTCATTAAAATATTCCCAACTTGGGTCTCTTTTATAGCCTGCTGCCATTATATCGTTTTCCATTTATTAAGACAATGGTAGCCCTGACCTGGATAGCCCAGGCAAGCCCGATCTCGTCAGATCTCAAAAGCTAAGCAGGGCCGACCCTGACAAGTATTTAGATGGGAGACCTCCAGAGAATACCTGGGCTAGGAGGCCAGAGGCAGTCTATCAAGCCACTTTTCTGAATGTCCTCCATGCTGCAGTAGGAGTCGACAGAGGTTGCCATGACTTCCAGGCACGGACACGCACACACATACACGCAAAAATACAAAAAAAAAAAGACAATGGTATGGTAGATATCAAATCAATGAAGTGTATAGTCAGAAAAGCCTGAAGACTTCTGGAATATGCTGAACAAACATGCTCAGGAGTCTGACATTACCTGAACTTCTTGATATTTTGCATTTTTAGAGAGAGGTAAGTGATTCATTTATTTACTTCATTCATGGCCGTCCTTTCTCAGCAAGACTCAAGGCAGATTACAATTTTTTTAAAAAATGCAGACAAATGGCACAAAACATCTAATAATCTACGCAAGGTTACAATTACAACATAAGGACATTAGGACTAAAATTACAAATTTATGAGACAATGAAGACACAAAAAAGCCAATCTAAGACAGGACATACCTAAAACTATGCAGAAAACAGATCCAGGTGGGCAGCCATGTTGGTCTGAAGCAGTAGAACAAATTTTGAGTCCAGTAGCACCTTTAAGGCCAACAAAAGTTTATTCTTAAAGGTGCCAATTGATGCAAAATTTGTTCTAATGAAGAAAACAGTTTACAAAAGAGAAAGACCAGGCAGCTAAAGAATAAGAATACATACACTTGACTTCACTAAACAATGCAATAAACTATGATCCTATACCTTTAAAAGGCAACTTCCTGAATGACTCTGTGTGCACAAATTTGCAGGACAATAGGTCTGTTGTTTATTTCACACACACAATTTAATGTACAAGTGATCTTTGGAGACACAAATCCACATTTTGAAATCTCTGATACTATCTTCTACACTGAGCAATGAGTCCCATTGAGTACGTAGACAAATAAACCTAAATAATATATGCAGAAGTCTCTGGAACCCCATGAGACTGAGACCCTGGCCAGGCTGCCTCAATCACACAGGAAACAAAGGTAAGCCTTTTTTCCCCTCCATTGGCTGAGGCTTCTCCCCAAAGGGAGGGAGAGAGAACTTGCTTTGCTTGGCTGACTCAATCACATGGGAGAAATAGAAAGCACCTTTAAGACCAACAAAGTTTTATCCAAGGTATGAGCTTTTGTGTGCCTTGCTACAGTGTGTGTGTTTTGTTGGGTTTGTTATGCTGTGGCTCTCCTGGGTGCAACTGGGTTCCCTCCCCCTTTTCACTGTATTCACGCCCTCATGATCCAATCTTTCTCAGTAGAAAAGCAATGTGAACTATTTAGATGAGGAATAAGAACAAGCCAGTGAGGTGGATTAGGTTGAGTGTGTGTGTCCAGACCAAGTTCATCCAGCACATTTCCTTTGGGGATTTTGAATTTAGACTTCCCAGATAGTAGGCTGATACTGACCACTGAGGAAGACTATAGTTTTATAGATAAACACACAGCCCTCAGTCTGTGTCATGGTGCCTTCTCATGTTCTTGACCAGCACACAAAACAATTTATGTACAAAAGCTCTCAATGCCCAGCCATTTCATGTTTTACCCTGGGTCCTAGGCTCAGACCTCTGAGCATGAGATTTCTGTAATGAATGTAAACCGCCCTGAGCCTGCCTTGGAGGGGAGGGTGGGGTAAAAGTTAAATAAATAAATAAATAAATGTTGATAAATCAAAAGTAGGTTTGCAGCTTACAGATACACACTTGAACAACATACTCAAGATTGCTAAAGCACAGACATTTTGATGCAATAATTCAGAGCAAGAGGTGTCAGTTATCATACACTGTTAAATAAAAAAAATATTGCAAGAGTGCTAATGTTTTAAGCATGTTTTTATTTTAAGTTAAAAAAATCTTTAATTGTGTTTGTGTCCTTTATAAAGTTTTTATCTCTGCTACCTGGCATTACATTTTATGACACACATGGCCCGGCCCAGCAAGATCTCAGTTATGTCAGATCTGGCTGTTGTAACAAATGAGTTCGACACCCTTGGTATAGCACAATCTTCTTGGGTCTTAGAAAGTAAGCAGTATTAATACTTGGATGGGAGACCACCAAGTAAGTCTCTGTAGTGGAAGGCCATTGCAAACCACGTTTGCTTCTCACTTGCTTTGAAAGACCCTTGCTGTAGTTGCCACAAGTTGGTTGTGACTTGACAGCACTTGCGTATGTATAAAACAAAACACAAATGCACACAATACTAAATAGAAGCATTTAGATTTACTTGAAATTACCTCTGTTTTCCCATATATGCAAACATTGTGTGCACCAGTATATTTTCTGGAAGCATGCCTGGATATATATCACAAATAGTAATGTTAAAAGCACCATTCCCAGATCCACTGTATCCATCCCTTACCCTACCAGCAGATCTACCCACCTAAGCCCTTCTTTCACGTTCCAGTTTCTCAACTTGAATTAAAGTTCCATAGAATTCTGTGCTGCTACTTAGTTCTGTGTTAATGCTACCACCTCAGTGAGCCTCTATTTTTGATCACAGAGATTCTGCTTTATCCATCACATCATTCATTACTTCAGTGATTTCCAACTTCTGTTGGCAACACTGGTGGCATTCATAGCATGTTGTAGTGGCTCATGGGAACAAAACAAAGGATGATTAAGGAAATGATGACAGTCCATGTCCGGATCAAATAACAGCAAAATGGCAGATTAAAATGCTGTCATTCATGAATGTCTTAAAAAGTTACATCACACCATGTCAGGTCAATAGTCTGTGCTTTCAGCTCTGATTAGTAGTGTATCCCAAAGATATTTCCAGCTCTACAAAGAGAATCCAACTAGTTAGAAAAGTCAACAATAAATCTAGGGCCTCACTCAGGTCATGTTCTGCCTTTTGTTATAACCTACTCATTTTAATTAAACTGGGCAAACCTGTATATTATTAATATTACCTAACAGCCACTTGGTTCACACACCCAAGGATCTTTCATTTATTTTTCTTTCCTGCACTGTGGCTAGCAATTCACACCTATCTCATTACAATTTGACCCCCAAAAATAAACAATCACGCAGGAATTAAAATCCCTCGATAGCAGATATTGGTAGACACATAAACAAAATACCAGGTAACCCGCAGGCTGAACATTAGTTGGAAGTTCTACTTTGTTTATTGGAACTTGCTGCACAGGATGCATAGTCTTTAATATGCCACATCACTCTCTGGGATTAGTGAGCCGAGTTAAAAACAAGATGGCAATAATAAAGATGCAATAAAATTATTAATGTACTAAGGGAAAAGTGCATGTTAAATTGGCGGTAGGACGAAGCACTGTGTACACCACAGCCTCGCTGTTCTTAATGACATGTAAGCGTAAGCGAGCAACCGCTCCTCATCATTTTGCATTGTCTGCATTTATAAGGTTGTTGTTCACTAAAGCCAGATTTCCCTTCCCTAAATCTGTTCATTCCTTCGGAGGAAGGAATGAAAATTATCAGCCACACTCCCTAAAAAAACCCGCTGCCCCGAACACAGAGGCTCTGTGCAAGAAAACAGTTGAAAAGAAAAGGACGAGAAGCTGAGCGCAGGGTTGTTTGGTGTGCTTTAGGTTATTTTCACGAGCCAAAGAATAAATAAAATGGACCACACGAAGCCATCACAGAAACAAGCCTGGCGACGGCTGATTTTTGCCTACCGGCACTCAGACACTCTCTTTTCAGAGGAGGGGGGGCCAGGGGAGGAAGGGGCGAAGCTGAGAACACGTGGCTTTCGCCCTGAAACTAGCGTTACCTTGTATTGGCGGAAGCCGGCCAACTGCTGGGCAGTTACATACTGGATATACCACATGCCGGGCGCTGGGTTCTCTGGCACCTTCTGCTCCGCGTTTCCCGCCGCTCCGCTTCTGTTTATGGCCCGCGCCTCCACTTAGGCTTCAAGCCGAGTGGGCGGGGAGCGAGCAGGACAAGGAGGCGGGAGAAATGTCGCTCGCGCCGCTCACCGGCTGCCTGGATGTCAGACCTGCGCGGAACAAAGTTTGAGTCCAGCGGCACCTTTAAGACCAACAAGGTTTAATCCTGGGTATAAGCTTTCGTGTGCACACACAATTCATGGAGTTCGTGTTGCTGCTCGCCTAAGTATAGGCGCTTTTCCTGCAGGCTCCGATTTAGTAGGGAAGAAAAAGTGCGCCCCTTAGTTGTTGTCTGTACTCGAGGGGCTCATGTGCGGGATGTACTAAAAGGAAGGACAGGATTGCCCATTGGAAACACTGGGAGAGGCTTGAAGGCCCACTGAAAATAATAGGAGACAGGAATGAGATGGGAATGCCAATTGACTTCCATGGACTCCATTGAAATACATTACAAGTAGAGTTGCAATAAAAATGTGGAATGGATTTTCTATTAGGGTCTCTGCGCCCAAATACACTACTCTGGGGATGGAATGAGAGACCACAGAGTGGAATGACAGCTCCAGGGTGGAGCAGGAGTGTTCTGGGACTGGGATGACAGGCCACGGAGTGGATGACAGCCCCAGGGTGTAGCAGGAGTGTTCAGGGACTGGAATGAAAGACCACGGAGGGAAATGAGAGCCCCAGGGTGGAGCAGGAGTGTTCAGGGACTGGGAAGATAGGCCACAGAGTGGAATGACAGCCCAGGGTGTAGCAGGAGTGTTCCTGGGCTGGAATGAGAGACTACGGAGTGGTATGACAGCCTCTGGTTGCAGCAGGAGTGTTCTGGGGATGGAATGAGAGGCCCCAGAGTGGAGCAGGAGTGTCCAGGGACTGGGAAGACAGGCCGCGGAGTGGTATGACAGCCTCTGGGTGCAGCAGGAGTGTTCTGGGACTGGAATGAGACCACGGAGTGGAATGACAGCCCCAGGGTGTAGCAGGAGTGTACAGGGACTGGGAAGATAGGCCGTGGAGTGGTATGACAGCCTCTGGGTGCAGCAGGAGTGTTCTGGGACTGGAATGAGAGGCCACAGGGTGGACTGAAGCCTCTGAAGCCTCAGGGTGTAGCAGGAGTGTTCTGGGGCTGGAATGAGAGACCACGGAGTGGAATGACAGCCCCAAGGTGTAGCAGGAGTGTTCTGGGACTGGAATGAGAGATGACCGAGTGGAATGACAGCCCCTGGGAGTAGCAGGAGTGTTCAGGGACTGGAATGAGAGACCACGGAGTGGAATGACAGCCCCAGGGTGGAGCAGGAGTGTTCAGGGACTGAGATGAAAGGCCCCAGAGTGGAATGACAGCCCCTAGGTGTAGCACTAGTGAGAGACCACGGATTCGAACGACAACCCCAGGGTGGAGCAGGAGTATTCTGGAACTGGAATGACAGGCCGCAGAGTGGTATGACGGCCTCTGGGTGAGCCGGGAAAGGTTCCCCGGCCTCCCTCAGCCCCGGGGCCGTGCCCTTTGACTCCTTATGCCCAACGGTGCCCCTCGCAGCCACGAGGGGTTCTTCCTCATCCCCCAGGCCTCAGAAGTGGCCCTTTAAATCACTACGGCCAACGGTCGCTGGTCAGCCAGGAAAGGTTCCCTGGCCTCCCTCAGCCCCGGAGCCGCGCCCTTTGACTCCTTGTGCCCAATGGCACCTTGCCACTCGGGGGACAGCCACGAGGGGTTCCTTCCCTTCCCCCAGGCCTGGGAAGGGGCCCTTTAAATCACTATGGCCAACGATGCCGGTGGCCTGTCATCCGGGAAAGGTTCCCCGGCTTCCCTCAGCGCCCCGAGCGGCTGTCCCCCGAGCGGCCTTTAGCTTGGAGAAACAACAGCTGAGGGGTGACATGATCGAGGTTTATAAGATTATACATGGCACAGAGCAGGCAGAGAAAGAAGTCCTTTTCTCCCTTTCTCACAAGACAAGACCTCGTGGGCACTCCATGAGATTGCTGAGCAGTTGGGTTAGAACAGATAAAAGGAAGTACTTCTTCACCCAAAGAGTGATTAACACATGGAACTCACTGCCACAGGAGGTGGCGGTGTCTACAACCATGGAAGGCTTCAAGAGGGAATTAGATAAGCATATGGAGCAGAGGTCCATTGGTGGCTATTAGCCACAAGGTATAGATAGGGATTCCGGGGCAAGTGATGTTCTTTATTCTTGGTGCTGGGGGGGGGGTCAATAGTGGGAGGGCTCCTAGTGTCCTGATGGCACCTGGTATTTTTGGCCACTGTGTGAGAGTGTTGGACTGCATGGGCCATTGGCCTGATCCAACATTGGCCTCTCTTATGTTCTTAACTACCCAAAGGAGTCTCAGAGCGGCTCACAAAGTCCTTTCCCTTCCCCTCCCCACAACAGACACCCTGTGAGGTGGGTGGGGCTGAGAGAGCTCTTTCCAGGACTGCTCATGAGGGAACAGCTTTGAGAGAACTTGTGACTGACCCAAGGTCACCCCAGCAGCTACATGTGGAAACGGAGGGTGGGTGGAATAAAACCCGGTTCTCCCAGATCAGACTCCGTGCTCCTAATCACTACGCCAAACTGACTCATGAAACTATAGGTGTCGAACCCATTTGTTACGAGGGTTAGATCTGATATGAATGTCGCTTTGTCATGCTGGGCCACAGGAGTCAAAAAATGTAATTCCAGGTACCGGAGATGTAAACTTTATGCAGGACACGGGCAAACCCAATTGACAATATTATTTTTACTCAAAATACAAACAAAAGCAATTGATTCCTAGCAATGAAAACAAGTGATTTACTGGGGGACCCACAAAGATGCCAGTAAATGTATTTAATCATATGCCAGACTAGTTTTTTCCCCAAGGGATACCATAAAAGAGGAGGGGATCTCTTACATTTCCATACAAATTAGTTACATTGTGTACAAATAGCACTTTTAGGAGACAAATCTTCCTTGCAACTAAATATGGTAATTATTCAGCATCCCCTCCCCAAAAGTCCAGTCTCATCAGCCAAGCAGGTCTACAGTCTGTCTCTCGCTCTTGTTTGGTGTAGCGGTTAGGAGTGCGGACTCTAATCTGGGAGAACTGGGTTTGATTCCCCACTCCACATGCACCTGCTTGGTGGGACCTTGGGTCAGTCACAAGTTCTTTACGAGCTGTTCTGTCAAGAGTAGTTGTTGAAAGAGCTCTCTCAGCCCCACCTACCTCACAGGCAGTGTTCCCTCTAAGCTGAGTGAGTGTGAGCTAGCGCAGTTTTTTAGCCTCTGACTCACACATTTTTGTCTTAGTTCAGGAAGGATGGCTCCAGAGCAAACTAATTTATGCAGCAGCCAAATTGTTCGCTCACAACTTTAATGCCAGGAGCTCACAAGGTAGAATTTTTGCTCACAAGACTCCACAGCTTGGAGGGAGCATTGCTCACAGGGTGTCCGTTGTGGGGAAGGGAAGGGATTGTAAACCACTCGGAGACTCCTTTGGGTAGTGAAAGACAGGATATAAATCCAATCTCCTCCTCCTCCTCTTTTTCTTCTTCTTCCGCCATCCTACCTCTGAGGATCTTGAGGAGACACACTGGACTCCCTACTCCACTGCCCCCTCCCCACCTCCAGCAACAACCCTGTGAGGTGAGACAGGCTGAGCGACCAGTCCCAGGTGCCTCGGACAAGAGGGTCCTGGATTAGGGAGGGGGGTCTGAACCTGCTTCTTCCAGATCCCCCCAGCCCTAGGTGGTGCGAGGAGGGAGGTCACTGTGCCCTATGCTCCCTGACACTCACTCTACCCCCGGGCTCATGGGCACTCAATGAAATTGCTGAGCAGTCAGGTTAGAACAGGTAAAAGGAAGTCCTTCTTCACCCAAAGAATGATTAACACATGGAATTGACTGCCACAGGAGGTGGTGGTGGCTAGAAGCACGGATGGCTTCAGGAGGAACTAGATAAACATCTTGAGCAGAGGTCCATCAGTGGCTATTAGTCACAAGGTGTAGATAGGAGCTCTCCGTCTGGGGCAAGGGATGCTCTGTATTCTTGGTGCTGGGGGGGGGCAGCAGTGGGAGTTCTTCTACTGTCCTGGCCCCACTGCTGGACCTCCTGCTGGCACCTGGTATTTTTGGCCACTGTGTGACGCAGAGTGTTGGACTGGATGGGCCACTGGCCTCATCCAGTATTGGCTTCTCATCTTCTCATGTTCTTATGGCTCTGTGGCTGCAGCTTTTCCCCCTTCACTCCTCCACTGTGTGCACCCCCTCGCCTGAGCAGCCTCCTGCCTTTCCTCCCTTGCACCGTGGGCCAGGTAAGAGCCCTGGCCGGGCCTGTTCCAGCCCACAAGCCTTATGTCTGACACCCCTATGATAGAGGTTTACAAAATGATGACTGGGATAGAGAAGGTAGAGACACAAGTATTTTCCTCCCTTTCTCCCAAGACAAGAACCCGTGGGCACTTCCATGAAATTCATGAGCAGTAGGCTTAGAACAAATAAAAGGAAGTCCTTCTTCACCCCAAGAGGAGTGAACACATGGAATTCACTGCCGCAGGAAGTGGTGGTGGATATAAGTATACACAGCTTCAAGAAGGGATTAAATAAAACAGAGCAGAGGTTCATCAGTGGCTATAAGCCACAAGTGGCTCAAGTGGCTCAAATGCTGCATGACGGAGTGAGCTCCCGTCTTTGGCCCCAGCTCCTGCCAACGGGGGGCAAGAGTGGGAGGGCTTCTGGAGTTCTGGCCCTGCTGGTGGACCTCCTGATGGCCCCTGGGTTTTGGCCACTGTGTGACCCACAGCGTTGGACTGGATGGGCCATCGGCATGATCCAACACTGGTTTCTCTTATGTTCTTATTTGCAAGAGGAATCCTCTCCACCCCTGAGGGATCTCACGACACCATCCTTGCACAGAGAGAGGCAGGAGGTGTGGGACCCTTTCCCTCTGCGCATGTGCACCTGCAGCAGGCCCTTCCCAAAACCAATAAACCATGCCCACTGGGCAGCAGCCTCAAGACTTAGCAGGCATGGCT